GTGTTCCACTCATTTGGTGGAGGTACTGGTTCCGGATTCACATCACTGCTTATGGAACGCCTCAGCGTCGACTACGGTAAAAAGTCGAAGTTTGAATTTGCAATCTATCCAGCGCCTCAAGTCTCTACTACCGTCGTTGAGCCCTACAATGCAATTCTCTGCACACACACGACAATTGAGCATTCAGACTGCGCTGCCATGTTCGACAACGAGGCCATTTATGATATTTGTCGGTAAGTCTACATAGTCCTAAGCCAACCATGCACCTAAAAATGAATCTCTGAAATGGAATTTTGTTTGATTTCAGGCGCAATCTGGACATCGAACGACCCACTTACACCAATCTGAACAGACTTGTGGGTCAGGTAGTCAGCTCCATGACAGCATCACTCCGATTCGACGGTGCCCTTAATGTTGACCTGACTGAATTCCAGACCAACCTGGTGCCCTACCCCCGTATTCACTTTCCCCTTGTTACATATGCTCCGACCGTATCTGCTGAGAAGGCTTACCATGAACAGCTCAGCGTTGCCGAGATCACAAACGCTTGCTTCGAGCCAGCAAACCAGATGGTTAAGTGTGACCCTCGACATGGCAAATACATGTCTTGCTGCATGCTTTATCGTGGAGATGTCGGCCCCAAAGACATCAACGCATCTATTGCCACCATCAAGACCAAGAGGACCATCCAATTCGTTGATTGGTGTCCCACTGGTTTCAAGGTCGGCATCAACTACCAACCACCTACTGTCGTTCCAGGTGGCGACTTAGCTAAGGTCCAACGGGCGCTTTCAATGATTTCGAATACCACTGCAATCTCTGAGGCCTGGGCTCGTCTTAACCACAAATTCGATCTAATGTATGCCAAACGTTGCTTCGTCCATTGGTACGTTGGCGAAGGCATGGAGGAAGGTGAATTTTCTGAGGCCCGTGAAGATATGGCAGCTCTCGAAAAGGACTACGAGGAAGTCGGGCAGGACAGTGTTGAAGGTGAAGGTGAAGAAGATGAAGAATATTAAATGCACTACGCGTATGATTTTCTACCCTTAACAGCATTGGAGTTTTTTCCTAATGCACAAATGGCATTTGCATATGTCAAAATACATGTAGTAGTGTCAGCCAAATATTTGGTTTTAATTTTGGGTTAAGGTCAAAATTAAGGCAAAAACAAAGTATTATTCCATGGAGAGTTTGATAGCAAGCCGTCAAAAGAAAAAGAACAAACGGTTCGTACACTAAAGGATTTATTAGGTGGAGAAGACGACAACAATCGTTTATTTACTTGCTCGGAGTGGATTTCGAATACAAGCATTGCAGTAATAATTGGGCCTTTTGTAACAAGGTTCGATCCACACCCTTCTAAATGATCCCAAATATACTCCGTTTTAAGAACTCATGGTGGTGGGCTCAAAATTCTCCTTCGGAAGAAAGGGGTTCTTTTATGGTAAAGAAATTGAGACCGCGTGTCTTCCAGATTCCCTTCACACTACGAAGTATTACGAATTCGGGAATAATTGACATAATAGCTATCTGATGCCCTAATTGGACAAGACGTCTCTGTAGTTAGTACAAACTAGATCGGTGTGGCGCACCACAAGTTAGCGGTTCATGCGTTAAACATAAACACTTACCGGCACCCACTCCAGTCATCCGAGCCATTGTTGTAACCGTTCAGCCGTGGTGACGTGGTTCCATTGTCCGCTCTGGGTGTTTACTGCCACCAATTCACGGTCTCCATTGCTTTATTACGTTGTTGCCTTTCCTTTTTATGCACAGACCACAGATATTCCCGGGAAGGTAGTTTTCGCCTTTTCCAATTGCAGTGGTTGTGATGCGCAAATATTCATCAACCTAACTAACTAGCTAATACGTGTTCATCATATTTTCCTTCACATTTTTAATCATTTCTGTATTCTCGTTATGATTCTGAATAGCAGTCCCCATTTATAGGAAGTAACTGGATTAGAGGTGTATCGTTTGCTCACTTTCGATTTACGAAAATAGGTTAGTTTGCACAAACGCTCACGAGCCCTCACTCCGGGGACATGTCATGAGCACTGGGTCCCACTTACACAATGTAGACTGCGAAATAAAGAAAATTCATTTTTGCTACTCGTTTGGAGTCATCTCAAGTATTGGTGGAGGCTCTGTCTGTTTAGTCGCTCCTGGAGGTCCTGAAAAAAAATCTCGATTCATGCGGAAAATTCTTTGCCAGTATGTTAATGCACATTCCGGGTTCTCTTTTCAGGGGAAACGTCGGGTTCTTAGAAAGTCAGGTTATTGGTTTATGGCCCCAGAAAGTCACAGGCATGCAGTGGACTGCGTGCACAAACATGTAAATTGAGGCTTGTCCGACGGAGGTTTACCTCATGTTCACTGTTTGCTGTCAAGTACTCGCACTCTTTACTGGCTCCTGGTCATAAGTAAATTGAAAACACTCTAGCCCTCGCAATGACACATCATGCCCAGATTGAGAGTAAACAGCAATGTCCTGACATTTTGGGTACAAAGAATGTTTTCTGCGACATTGTCCTCTTCACGTTCTCGCGGTTTTATGTATATCCAAAAACCATTTTGGTCCTCTTATTCTGCATTTAAATTCATCTAACATCCGTGTTTCTGAGAAATTGATCTGACCCTAAGTGGAGCACCTCAACAAATGGTCTGAACAATGGGGAATCACGAAGTAGCCTATATGTTACTGCTGAAATAGGTGATTAACCAGAACACATTGATGTAAAACCGATCCCCTTCCAGCATTTTCGGGCCAGACTCTCTTGCGCTGCTTTTACTAACTTATCGTAGGTGTGAGAGCTCCAATGACCCCGGTAGCAATACTCAAACGCTGACATAGAGGACAATGTGGAAGAAACTTGTGCTCGTTTTGAAGGGCAATTCCCTTAATTTCTTGCAGTTTAAAAAATTTCTATTGAATTTCAAATGCTATACTCTCTGAGATTTTTTGAAGTTGTTGGAACTAAGTAAGAGTTAATTGCAAAGCGTGAGGTGAAACACGAAATGGTCGAAATCAGCTCGGAAGTTAGTTAACTACGGCGACTCGAATCACTCACTAAGTAAAGCCTTTAGAAAGCTTTGAAATACACAACAACGGCACTACATATGCAGCAATATGAACCCAGTCTTCCAAATTAGGAGGATCTCTTATTAAATAAGTACCAAAGCGCACACACTCACACACCACCAACCAGAAGGTGATTGTTTTAATTTGGATAAAGTAGGTCAGGCGGAATAAGTCGACATTAACTCTGTCAAAATGGAGAAGCTGGAAAAGAATCGGTAGTAATAATATGATCACGTCTTCCTCAATTTACATCAAGTAAAAGCGATGCAATCCAATTGCAGTGTCACAAGGCATCTACAATCGATAATTTTAGCCTGGTGCCTTTACGAATTTAACACTAGACACATTTTTCTACAGTTTGGTAACTCTCGAGGTCGTGGTCCAGCGCAAAGACAATAGTGGTGTCGAATTTACATGCACACTTTACTCAGTTCGCTAGTAGTTAACCTGCATGTTCAATTATGCATCATGAAATGTTTAAACCAACGAACTAGCAGGAACCAGTTACGCAGATTATGTTTAACAGTTGTGTGTGAGTAACATGCGACGAAAACATGGCACTTCTGCAGAACTGTTTATGTGTGAAAACCGCGCACTTAGTCACTCTCCAAGTCATACAATTGGGGCTCGATCAGGTAAATAATTGCACTGAGTCATAGGTCAGTAGAATTACCAGCAGTGCGTAGGGCTAAGGAGAAGCCTAAATTCAACGTTATTTTAAGCACGAAATGTGACCAAATGCAGATTCCCATTGTGCTTGAGATTGCTGCAACGCAACAGCCAAAGGTAAGAAAAGCGTTATGCTTTTGACGAGTAATTTTATTAAGCGCCATTAAAAAGTAACTCACGAATTTTGGCTCCATTTCAGATCTCAAGAAACCAAATAGTGAGTCATTTCGCGAAGAATGCAAACGCATCAGTCATCATCTCAAACAAATTTTGAAGGTTACCAAGCTGGCAACGCGATTTTTCACATAAACGCAGCAAAGTAAATGAAACTAACAGAATTTTAAAAGACGCTGCCTCGTTTCCTTGGATGAAGTTGAAATTACTTAGGACTAAATGGCTGCGGGGACACCAATCACAGAGATCACATCTAAGCAAGGCAGCGAGTTAAAGGAAACAGTTATTTGCTAAAATCACGGGCTAATTTTTTAAATGCAAACATATGCAGCTGTATGAATTTCACAGGTGGTACAAGTTCGGAAAAGTTCCAACTGCAGCATTCTGGTACTGCCTCTCTGGACCTACGTGTCATTCTGTAAAACCATTTTTGTCCACTGTAGGTAACTTTAAATGAAACACCAACTTCAAATGGTGTAAAGGCTCTAAAAAGCTCTCAGTAAATGAGTCTTTGACGTGTTCACCTTCCACAAAATTCGTGCAGCTAAATTTGTAAGCGATTTGATAACCCAGCCTTAATTTCATACGGTATTATGGTATTCCGTCTCACTTTGCTAGCTTCTCATAGCTAATTTATCCTGAACTGCATACTATAAAGTCATTGTTACAAATCTATGCTGTAATTGGTTATCAAACGCCTATATAAAAAGGGGTTTTCTTATTTGAAAGCGCGTAACGACTTTGAAGTTAGGAAAACGCGCAAGTTGAAGTAAGCATCTGTGGTTAGTTGGCACCAGCAACGTCAATGAACTCTTAATCACACTAACAGACACTGGCTAGGCCCTCTGAAGTCTCGGTGCTTAAGCGTGCTGCACTAGTAATACAAGCGGGCTCTTTAGATATGCTGACCAATCAGAAAGTCTTCAGTGCAAGGTAATCAGGGAGGCTAGAAAGGTAAATCTGTTGCTGAGAAAATCTAAAGCACACACTCCGAAGCAAACGCCAATGATGCGGTTTAGGACGTGCTGGGTTTTTCTGCTGGCTCTCACGTCTCTTGTTTGTGGCGCTCAAGCAAAAACGTGCGGTAAGTTTAGATTTTTGTGATTAAAATGTCCGAAATTTTTTTTATTTGATGAGGGACAACAGCCTCCAGTGCTAGTGTGATCATGAAATCCACCAAAAGTCTACCCTTCGTGTGCTTGGTCAATTAAAATCACCATGATATGATGCTCTGAGATGTTAAGTGGACTTTAATGATCCCTCATATAATTTTAATGCCTTTGGTACAATATACAACCAAGTCATATTTGTGTTTCTCAATGCGGTAGAGAAATAATCCTAATTCATGCGCCTATCAAAAGACACCACGAATCATTGTCTTCATAGAATCCACATCTGAAAGTGTTTGTTTCGCTTGTTCGGTACACGTGGACCTTAAGGGCGGGCTTATGAATTGGGTGGAACCTCATTGGTCAGTGCCCAAAATTTGTTCAAACTGAAATTCAATTTTTATACACGATACACTAAATTTTGGCACTTACTCTACTTGAGCTGGCAAACCGAAAACCCCAACATGAGTAATTTTTGAAGGCCAAGCCATAACTGTTGCTGAACTTGCATTTTGAAGTTTATTTTGACTGCCACACTGCAGTGGAAAAATTTCCCCTTGCTTCAAAACTTAAAAACACAGATGAAAAATCCGCGAACATTGAAAGAGGGACATCTAACAAAATCGGTTGGATTACACCGGCTTTGTGATGCTCAATTTAAAGTCAATAAGCTGCTGCATTAGACAGACGCGATGCTATCAGTGGAGAGAACTTATGTGCGAAGATATAATGATTTGTGTGGCGTTCCAGCACCAATCATTTTAAGGTCACCATTAAAGCAGACATATGCGGTAGCCAAGTGTCACGGGCTGTACTGCTTGATATGTTTTAGTCCGGTGCGATCCGACGAACCCTGAGTAGATAGAAAAAAACCCTGGCAGCTGAACACACCTAAGTGGATTTCGTCACCCCAAGTCCCAGGCCTCACTGACAACGGCCTTAATTAAGTCTACCTCAACGCTCTCAAGCAGTTAGAGATGGAACT